TCACTAGAGCCGCCTCAAAGAAGCTTAAGAAGATTCGCCTACTTATAACATCTCTTGATGAACAAAATTCGTCTCGAAAAAAAGACTTAAATGATAAACATTTACCAGTTTTGGAAAATGTAGATATTAACGTAGATGTCGATTCAACAAAACAAAAAAATCCTCAAAAACGAGATTCTCCCAAGAATAAAATAAACCGAATGGGAAAAAAAAATAGGCAAAAGGGCAATCCAGAAGCTTATCATCAGGATGGCAAGACCAATCCCTTCGAATGAGAAAAAAAAAATAATCTTTCAAAAGGTTGACTTTCCAATACGAATTAACTATCGAGTCTTCTCTCAATACAAACATAAATCATAAACTATATCATAAAATGATATTTGTATATATTAAAATTTTCATTAAACAGCCGTGGGACCATTAGAAAACGGTCACGAACGAAACTTCATTTTTAGTCTCAAGAAACTATATGTATACACAGTATATACATAGTATGTATATAGAGTATAGAAACCGCTGGCTCTGTTTTATATACTTTTTAAACGATCATGTATTCAATATAAGCTATAGATTACGATTGTAAAAATTATTATTTGGCTATCGTTTGAAATTGTATTTTAAAAATAAATTTATTTTGACATTTTGATATTAAAATTTAATCCGTATTTGAAACAGTATCAAAAAAAAAAAAAAAATTAAAATTAATAGATAAAATATAACGTTTTTGATTTTGATTAAATAATTGAGTATTTTATGCTATATTATAGTAAAATATAATGCAGTTTAAAAAACAAAACCAATTACGTAAATTATTATTTATAAATTAATAATTATAAAAAAAATCAAATATAATAATTTTTTATTGTTTTAAATTTATAATTAAAAAAAATTCATTAAACTAAAATCTATTTAAAAAAATATCATTTTTTTATTTGATTCACGTGATGCAATATAAAATGTATATTGTAAAAAATAATATTCTTTATATTATTTTAATAAGCTTCATATTAGCTTGCTTATATAAAACATATTTAATTAATATTGAAAAAAAAATTTTTAAATAATATTATTATATTAAATATGTCTAAATAATATTATCAAAATATAAAAATAAAATATAAAAATAATAACAATAAACTAAGTTTATTATAAAAATGTTTTTATAAAATAAAAGAAAATAAAAACTTATAATAAATTCAGTATTGTTTTGATACTAAAAAAATATATACTATAATACAAGATAATATATTTATATTTATATTTTCTTAATAATATTTTTTATTATAACTTGATTATTATTTAAAATATAAAATATAAATTAATTAGTTATATTAAGATTAATTAATTATTATTTTATAATTATAATTATTATACTTTTTTTAAATATAATTATTAAGATTAATATATAATAATTAATTAATAATAAATAATAATAATAATAATAATAATAGTAACTCTTTCCCATATACAAATTTTTTCTTAAAAATTTCTTTTTTTAGTAATTATCTTTCAAAATTAAAAAACAAATATTTTTTTGCCTTTTAACTTTTCAAAGTCCTTTATACATTCTTTACCTTTACTACAAGAACCTCAAAGAAATTAAAAAAGTATATCAATATATCAGGATAGAACCTTTGGCCAAAGAAAAACAAGTTTAGAGCTTTTGCTTTTTTTTTTAATTGTATAAGAAAAGACTTGTGACAATTACTTCTTTATAAATTTTTTTTGAAATTCTTTCTATTTTTATTTCTTATAAATATATATTTCTTATTAAATAACTATATTCTTTTCTTGGAAATTTTCTTTACAAACCAAAAAACCAAATTACATATTAAAAATATTTGTATTGTAGACTTAAAGAACCAGCAATATATTTATTGTTTACTTCTTATTATTATTCAACATAAGTTGCTATATTATAAAAAGTCCAAAATTTTTTTGAAAAAAAATTTTTACAAAAAAACTGCAATTAATTTACTCTTATCAATTAATTAACATCTCAAAATCAATTAATCAATTATTACCAATTATTCAAACAAATCTATATTATTAAAACACTGCACACTAATCAACATAAACAAAATCTTTTTCAACAATAAATATTAAAACAAAATCATATTATCAATAAACAAACCAATTATACTATTAATAAACAAACCAATTATTAATTATATTAACAAAACAATAACACAATTATTATAACCAATCAACTATCAAAGAAATATATTATCAATACTACTATATACTTTGAATAGTAGCCTGGCCATTTATAATAAGTATATAGATACTATACTTCAGCTAAATGGAACTATCAGTATGGTATGCTTTTCTGAAGTATCTTTAACTTTACAATTGATTTTTTGTATCTATTTCTTTGCTTAGTATTTTTTTTCTTTTCTACTTTTTATAATCTTTTTATATATAAATCCGAGTAGGTATTTATAGCTGCTTGATATTATCTTTAACAATATATTAATTTTAATATTTCTTTTTCTTTGCAACTTAGATAGTTTACTGTAAGTAAGCTAGTATTAAACTTACTAATCAACTAGTCATATAAGAGATATTATTACTTTCTTTATATATAAATTTTTTAATTTTATAATTATAATAAAGTGACGATATTTACCTACTTAAAAAATATTATTAATAATTAATTAATAAAAATTATGGATCAATAGTATAATGATTAATATTTCCAAGTTTAAATTACAATATCTATTTAATTTTAAATAAAAATAATTAAATAGTATTAATATAATATTTGCCATTATAACTTGTTAAATAATGTTTTACTAAAAATACTTATTTTTTTATTATTTCATTATTGAAACTTTATCAAATTATTATTAAGTCATTATTAAATAGTTATAATACTTATAAGAAAATTGTTTTAATTTATTTATAGCAATAATAACTATTTTTTTATCAAATATTTTCAATTAAGTAATGATTAAAAAATTTTAAATCTCTACTAAATTATTATTAAATTATTATAAAATTAAAATAATTTAATTATAATTACTGTATATATTAATTTATTTATAAAACTGTTTTATAATAATAATTAAACAAATAATATATTTATATAATAATATATTTATAAGTTTATTACAATTAAATAGTAATTTAATTATAATTTAACAATAAAATAATTACTATTATATATTATATATTGAATTAAATCACACTAAAGAAATAATTATTTTTTAAATAATATATATTAATAAATTATAACAATATACTTTTTGAATATATAATTGTAAATAAAATTAATTCTATTTATTTGATTAATCGCTATTAACAGATAAATTAATTGTCAACTTTTATTTCTTATCAATTGAATCTTATAAATTGAATATTCTAATATTTTATTTGTTTGTTTAATTTTTTTCAAATTATTATATTTATAACTAAAAATTGCTTAAATCTTGATATAAATCTTGCTTTTTTTACTAACATTAATAGATATAATATCTTTAAGATATAACAAATATTTTCTGGAAATATTATAATTATTCTTGTTTAAATAAGTTATACTTTTATAAAAACTTGTTATTTTATTAATAAGAGTTAAGTGATTTTCAAAATTATAATAAGAAAACAATAGTTTTAATTTAAATTCTGAGTTATTTACTTGACATAATATTATTTTTTCAAGATTTTATTACAAAATTTTTTTAAAGCTAATATTAGAAATATATTTCACTTGTGAATTAATAAATTTAATTAGCAATATTAATTAGATATTTATTTAAATTACAATAGTTAATCTTTTATATTAATGTCTTTTATAATATTTTCATATTAAAGAAGTTATAAACAAGATATTGTTTATAATCAATAAAGAAAAACTTTATTAAATGTAAGAGAAATTAGACAACTCTGTTATTTTTCAAAAAAAAAAATTTTTTTTATATATATGTTTCTCCAATATAAATAAATAAAGTAAAAATACAAATTTAAAATAAGAAAATAATTTTATTGATTCTTTAAAAATCACATATATATAATAATAAATGAAATAATAATTAATAATACTAGTATTTCATCTTAATTATTTTAATATCTTTAAAATTTCATTATAATAATTAAATAAATTAAAAATAAAACAATATAAAACTATTGATATTTGAAAACCCATATTGTTATAATATTAAATACCTTTTGAAATTAAGTATTGTTACACTTGATCTTCGCCCAAGATCATCACTACACCTTGTCTGATTTTTACTAGCATTTACCCTTGAAATATTATCTATTCTAGAATAATTCTTGTATTACTATCCTTGTT